TTCTCGTTTAAGTTTTCTTAACCTGCTGTTTAGAAGCGAAGCAATTTCGTTTTATTAATCACAAAATTGCCCAGTTACTTGGGATCTTCAAGTGAATCACAAGTATATCAAAACAATTTTTTGAGAAAAAAAAAAAAAGAAGAGAATTTCTGCTGCCATGCGGATCATCGCTAAGATAAGAGGGAGACTTTTTTTTTTTTTTTTTTTTTTTGCTTTTTCTCACTTTTAAGCAACCCCCCGCTATCATATAATCGCTAATTTATTTTATATTTTAAAGCAGAGTTTCTTAACATTTTGATACCGCAACGCGAACAAGAGACTTTAATAATATGATAGATAGGCTTTACGCGGAATATAATTACATTTAGGAAATTCTGAGTTTAATGCGTATGAACCTTTCTAGATGAGTTCACACAGCGCCTGTTTACATATAGATTTAAATTTAATTACGTTTTTACGTAAATTGCCTATAAAATTGTTTTAATCAACCATGAGACCGAAGAGGCAGACAAAAGTCTACTCATGTACGTACGTATGCGTGAGTGAGTGAGTGAGTGAGTGAGTGCGTGCGTGCGTGCGTGCGTCCGTGCTTGCGTTTATGTAAGTGCATATGTGACTGTGATAAACGCGCTTGCCTTTCTTATCACTTGCAGATAGAATTGCGTATACCATATATATATATATATATATATATATATATATATAGAAATGTGTAAAACAAAAAAAAAAGAAAGAGAATGGAGTAGGAAGGTAATAATCATTTTGCGTTTACTCAAGTGTTATATGGCTCTCTCACATTTTCATTTCCATTGCTTTTTACTTTACTTGGCAAACGTACGTTAGGTTCTTCATTCTATTTGCTTGATAAACGAGACAATAAAATGTACTAAGCAATCCCGACAGAAATCGAGAAATTCCGTATTTCGGAAATGTATTGCACTTGGAAGCATACTTCATCTGAACCGTTCAGATATTTATTATATCAAGTGTTTGCGAAACTTTTTTTGTTCAGTGTCTTTTACAGTAATGGGAAATATTAGTGTACATAACCGGTTGGATTCGATGGTTTTGACCTTGCTCTATATAAAACAACAGTGTTCCATTTAATATTATCGATTTATTCAGCGCATGCCAATCCGAGTCATGGAGCGCTCGGAATTCTTCTTCTTTAAAATTCATTACTTTTGTCATTTATTTGAAGAAATCTGCTGCCGAAGCCCATCAAACACGTTCAGCGATGCCGCTGAAGGTGAAGCTGCTCCAGCAACGGTTTAAAAGTGGGCGACAAGAATTGACTGAAAATGCCATTTTTAGGCCACTTGTTGCAAGACTTGTCCAGGATATACTATTGCAGCTCGCATGGAGACGGTGCAGTGCGGCTTGGCTAGCACGCGGATCCACAAAGTTGAAGAAATGCGAAAAAATGGTTCGATGGTTGGATCGCTGCCCAGTCAATATAATTTCTTTTGACATGGTACCGTCAAGTTGCCAAAAATATTGGAATATCTTGTAAAAAATGATGGAAAAGTATTTTGATCAGTATTAGGTCTATACAAAACTTTTGATCATTTGTTCGCTTGAAAAAGCCATTTATTGAGAAAAATTGGTGCAACGTATATTAAGCAAAATAGTAGTCCATCATTTTCTACAACATGACGAAAAGCACTTATATTTGTAGGGTGTATCAATTTTCCACAATAAATGCCTTTTCAAGTGAAAAAGTGACTAAAAATTTTTGCAAATTGATCCATCGATAACCATCTAGCGTGCAGTCAAGCTGTCGATAAAAAGTTGCCAAATGTTGATTTACTCAGTCACTTGTAGCAAACTGAAACGAATGACTAAACATAGGTCTTTGATAGCCCCGAGATTTTGTTTATTTTTTTGAGATCTCTTTTTACACGACACAAGTCTCTAATCTTAAAAACGTGTAAATTCAAGCAAAAAAAAAAAAAAAAATAAAAAAATTTCTTTTCATTTATCAACAAATTAAGAGACTTTTCTCAAAGATATACTGCACTAACTCTGGATATCCAAAAGCCAACCATAAATAGAATTTCAGTTTCTTTACTTCTTATGCTCACGATGAAGCAACAAGGATGTATGCTAGACTCGTTATTCAATTGATACTATTTACACTAATAATATATATATATATATATATATATATATATCCGATCATCAGAAGATACTGAAATGATTCATCTATGGATGCAACTCTTGAAATTCGCAAAAAATTCACTTTGGAAAGTGAAATTTTAAATCGCAATATTTAATTTTGAAAACAGATTCGAGACGAGCAAAGCCGACCCATGAAAAACTCTACACAACTTTGCATAATATAATACTTCGTCGTAGCGTAAGAAAAACTTTTATCATCATTCTCGCTACCATCAAAATACATAGTTTTCAGAACAACCCTTATATGGAATCTGAATTAATTCAGATCAAATTAATGTGATCGAAACTTCGTAAAGTTTTATCCTTTTCGTTGTTAAAACCTTGCTGTTCTTTACTCATTTTCATCATAGAGTATCGAAGAGTATCGATATTGTTATCGACTACAAGGGGATTAATTTGCGGAGGGCTTAAAACGAATCTACGTTATATGGCCCAAGTACATCATAATAGATTTATATGCCGAAGCGGTATTCTGAGCTAATTTCCATCAAAATACTCGGAAAATTCGATCATAAGAGGAGAACCTTACTCTACCCTCTACTCGACGTTTTTCTCTCTCTCTACCGTTTTCCTTCGAATTTTATCGCGAAACATTAAGAATGTAAAGACTTTTTTCAAGTGACACAATATAGGGGGCGTGGATCTAGAAATAGTGAAATCATATCCATTTTCAGTATCGTTCATACTTGAGCAAAGCAAAACACGTGACAGGTGAAGGTGTGACACATGTCATATTTCGTTAAAATATCTTGAGAATTTGTGATCTATAAACCGAACACACAAATACACGGATGAATGGATTAAATGGATTCAAGAAACCATTCTAATAAAAAATAGACCGCATAGGTCGGTCTGCAGTCCCTCTGAGGATTGTGTTAAAAACACAGAAAAATTGCATTAAAAAATAAAAATGAAATTATTGCAAACAACGACTGGAGGTAAAAAGTGTTCAAAAATTTGATACAGCGCAGCAAGTGGCGCATGTAATTTTAAAAAAGCAAAAAAAAAAAAACAATCAAAGCCAGCAAAAAGTACAAGAAAAGCAAAAACAAATGAAAAGAAAAGAAAAGAAAAGAAAGAAAATTGTGCATGAGTTGCTTAAAAAAAGTTGAATAAAAGTGAAAATTCGAATCGAATTAATAAAATAATTAATTAATTAATTAAATAAAATTAATTAATTAAAAACATATATTCATCAGCTTTCCAAAGGTAATCTCTTATGTTTTCTATTTGTATTTAAATTTCAAATGCTCTCAACAACGGTCACCCGGTAGTAGTAGTACCCGAGTACATTACCGTCAAAACGATCGATGTCGATATCGATGATCTCGATCTGAGTTTAATATGCGAATACAGAAAAACATACCGTTTCGTATGACCATCAGTATCCTTAACATACTGCGCTAACTAATATGGTCTCATGAAGCTTTTAGTCTAAACACATTCACGTATTCCGTGATAACCTGCGTCAAAACCCTGCGTAATTATTACAGCGCAGCAGAAAAGCCCTCATTTTCGAACTATAGAACGTACTTCAAATTTATAGAATGATTTAAAAAAAAAAAAAAAAAAAAAAAAAATGGGTTTTAATGTTACTTTCGGATCTAAATTTCTATTTATTCTTAACATAACTCGTACAGTACAATATTCAGTAAAAGAGTGTAAGTAAATCGTTAATTCGATCGCTTATCTTGCGATAACTTGCCGCATACCTACATTCAACGGTCTTTCATATTTTTCGGACTATAAGACGTGCTTTAAATTTAGAGACAATTTATTTGAAAAAATATTTTAATTTCACCTTTCGATCATACGATGCATCCGAAAGTCGAAGAATCCATTCTTCTATATAAAAAGTTGCGTCTTATAGTCCGAAAAATACGGCATATAAAGATGACAATGCCGTGATTGTTCTGCTAGGTCGGCTATACATTGCTTAGATATCGGTCTACATTACTTTGGGAGCGATGGTAGGCCGACCATCGTCAAGTGGTGGGCGGAAAGGAGTCACTCAACGAGTAACTTGCCTCAATTGTTGCGTGGAAATAATGTTTCATTTTTGAAGGATTTGCCTGCCGGGGCCAAGAATCAAAGCATCACTGACAAAGCAATTTGAATCATAGGCAAGTCTTACAACTTTTGTGGGCGCATAAAGTAAAAGTGAAACCATACGAAATTTGAATGATGAGTATATGACCCCGGGAGGAGACTGATTGTTCTCAATACGTAAGTTAATCATTTTTCTTTCTCTATTATTTGCATAATTTTTCGAGTTTTAAGTTTAATGTTTATGTTTTTATATTAATATCATTATTATATATGTAGCGAATTAATTCGATCAGTAAATTAACAGAAGGCATATGAATTTCCGAAAAAGGATTTTCCCACTTATGAAATTTATGAAATTTGCTTAAGGTGAGTATCTAAAGTTCGTTATTGGGCGCATATGGCTTTCTTTTTTTTTTTTTTTTTTTTTTTTTTTTTTTTTTTTTTT